TCATTAATGCAGCGAGCTAGAATACATAAAGTGCACTTACGAATGTTCAGCATTCCTACAAACTCAGGAATGTTATCCCCCTGATTTGCACATATCATAGTTTAGAAATCTATTTTATTGTCTAGTTTCTTTATTGTTTAACCAAAATAATTGATCCAAGTACTCATACATAAAAAATAGACCATATACTTAAAAATATAGAATACGCAACATACAAACTCACATGGAATTTCTTTTAGACTTTCTAATTGCCATTAATGCAAAATCCCAAATGCCATTCAAACTCACAACGATGGTGCATGTCGATGTAATTCAAATCGGTAGCAAGCAGAGATAGTAGATCCGTTCTGCTAACAACGTCGGAGATGTCGACGTTGTCGAAGTAGTCGTGGTGGGACGTTGATGGTACAAGCGTCAGCATCGAAGATCGACGACGACTTCAACGGCGTTGTCGATGAGAACTTGTCCTGCTGATAACGTGTTATAAAACATGTTGCCAGCTGTTAGGACATTCTCCTTTCTGTCTCTCATGATCAACACAGTAGACAAAAGTAGATAACAAATAGACACAAGATAGAAAGACTATTCTTTATTTCTCTGAATATTCGTGATTACAATGTAGAGCTTCCACGTATATATAACTCTGCTAAGGTCTAAGAGTTCGGTAAAAGTTTACATACAAATGGACTAGGATTATAACTCCTCCTTCTCCTCTCCTTCTAAAATAAAATCTCTATGTTTTACAACACTGACCACTTCTTTATAGCCCGTAGACGTGCTCATGCTTTCGGAGAATGAGGGCCGAGGTTGCGCAGTTATGGGCCTGTTCGCTGGTTGGTGCTGGTGCTGGTTTGAGCTGGCTGGTGCTGGTTTTTTATGAGAGAAAAACACTGTTGACTGGCTGAAACCAACAAGCGAACAGGCTGATAAAAAACCGTTCAGACTTCAGACAAGAGCGATCATGAGTCCTCGGCTGTAGGCTAATAGACAGCCCTCAAGCATCTACGTTGATGTTACGGAAATGGAGTGGTGAAAAAGAAAGGCAACGGGGAGAAAAACACCCGGCACACAGAAACCCGAGTGATAGTAAAAATCCACATGATTGAAACATACTTAAGAGCCTCTTTGGAACACTGATCGTAGAAATGTAGGGAGAAAAAAATGTAGAAATAGAATACATACAGTTGAATTCCAAGGAATTGCAAGGATGGATATTGTGATAGAACTGGGTAACAACAGCAGTAATGCTACTTATGGGTCGTCTGTTCATCCGGACGGACCCGTGTAAGTCGTCCGCTCGCTTTGCGTCTTGCCCGCGCCGTCCCCGTCCATGTCGCATGTCCGCTCAGCACGCTACGCGCCTCTGCTCCGGGACAGACCCCGCCCTCGGCTGCGCCGCACGGCCCCGCCCGGACTCGCGCCTCCCGTTGCGGTTGTGCTCCATCCGCCTACCCTGCCCTTGCTGAGGTCCGTGCCGTCGACGAGCTCCACACCGGCGACCTCTGCGCCACTCCGCGGCATCGAGCTCCGCGTCGATGAGCCTCCATTTGTCCAAGCAGCAAGCAGCAAGCAGATGCTACGCTTAAGGCGCATGTTGCAATAGTATGTTTCAAGTGTTTCAGAAGTATGTTGCAAGTGTTGTATATCGATGTTGCAAAAGTAGATTAGGATGTTGCACATGTTGTAATGGCTATACACGTATGTTTTAAGTGTATGTTCCAAATGTTTCATCTGTTCCAGACGAATGTTGCAAGAGTTTTATCTGGATGTTGCAAAAGCAGATCTAAATGTTGCATATACATGCAAGTTGCAAACATATGTTTCATGTGTTTTCAGGTGTTTCGTACGTATATTTGCGAGTGTTTCATCTGGATGTTGCATATGTTTGCAATGGTTTTCAAATGTTTTTCAGGCGTTTTCGCAAGTGTTTCAGACGCTTGTTTCAAGTGTTTCATTTGCCTTCTTTTTGTATATTGCAACTGTTGCATCTGGATGTTTCAAAATAGATCGGGTGTTGCATATGGGATGCACGTGGCAGCGGTGCGGACGACGTTCGGGGCGGTGTGGGCGACGTCCGGGGTGGCGCGAGACCACTGTTGGTGCGCTCCCTTGCAAACCTGACACGACGCTCGTTTGCTCCCTCTGCGTGGCAGCGTTCGGACGAACAAGTCCGTAACAACAGAGAATTTCTATAGGATTTGCAGGAAGTCAATCCTTTCTAACAAAAAAACTTGAGGGGTTGTTTGGATTGCGGGAAAAAATTCATGTTTCTGCGTTTTTCCTGTAAAATTGAACTGGTTCCCGTGAAATTCCTACGTTCTAAACACACTCACATAAGGAAATTTCATATAGGATATTATATTCCTCCAAATAAAGCTCTGTTTGGAACGTGAAATTTTTCTCAAATCTATGTTTTTCCTATGAAATTGAAATTTGAGTTGATTTCTGTAAAATTCTTGTGTCGATATTGAAAGTGGGAATGTTTGGATAGAGGCGTAGAGCTTAGTAACAATGTGAAAGTCCAAAGGAGCACTAACAATAAATGGAGAAGGTTTACTAGCGGAAAATAAGATAAAAGGGAAACACACCCTACAAACACAATTTCTCTAAGCTTTTATAAGTTGAAATTGACATCAACCAGTACTCTTTTCTCTCCGTCTCGCTTTCTTCTCTGCCTTAAACTTGCTATCATAACCCCCCTTTGCAATTTGCTGGCCTCGGTTCGGCAATCATTGAGCGACGACAGAGCACCTTCCACGCAAACAGAGCGCCGCGTCCCTAACAAATCAAGAGCTGTATAGCCTGCCGGGGGAGTAGACCCCATTGTCTACCCCCCCATTGTCTACACAACGACGACGTCGACATCTGTCTGACGCAAAAAATCAAGAGCTGTCGCTGAAGAATTTTGTCGACAGCACTGCACGGGCGATGAGCACCCGACGTGCGAGCGATATCTGCCTTCTGCCGACGAGGAAACCCCGCCAAACACGACAGCTTATCCCGACCTGTTCTCGTCCTTGCGCCCTGGGTTCCACTTCCATGGGCTCAGGGAGTCATGGGGCGACACGCCCGTCTGCACGCGCGAGCCGACGACGATCAGAACGCCAGTGGACCGGCACCACGCACCAGAAAGCGATGGAAGAGGGGTTGAGTGGCTGACAGGCGCAGCACATCGTCGCGTGGATCCGCGCCGCGGAGGACACTACTCGTATAATCTTGACAAGGGATATGCGACAAACCTTCCTGTCAGTGGCGTACCCGTGGAGAGATTCCAGTGATCAGAAGGGAATCAAAGGACATTGAAGTCGGAGGGCAGGTGTGTGGCTGCTATGTGCCATGGTTGAATGACGATTGCGAAGGGCGTCTCCCCACTCCCCAGTCCCAACTTTCAACAACTAGTATTCTCCGCCGCCCGAAGATCAGCAGCGGCAGGCTCAGAAAAGGTCCGTCTTTGGCTCACGATTGAGAGCTCGAGATTGCGGAGTCACGAAACAGGTCTGTGATCGTGCCGAATCACTCAGTTGTACAGATAAAGCGAAATTATGTAAAGAAATTCAAGATAGAAAGTATCATTTTTTATTTCAGCCTCCCGTGACCCGTCTTTGCACCGTGGTGTTCCACCAAAAGCAAATCGTCGTTATAAGATCTCGCCGCTGTTAGCCCAAAATCTAACCTCTCCTCACGAGATAGATGTATATTTATGAATGCGTGTCCCGACAACTGAAACGACCGTCACCATATCCACACAGCCGCCACAATAGGAAATAGTTCAATCAATTGAAAGAACAAATCATTAGAACTAAAACACTGCCATCATCTATTTGGCAATACTACTCAACCTAACCTAAGTTTGATTCGATACCTCAAGAGCATCTCCGAAAGTCGTTCTAAAACTTATTGTCTAAATCATCGTCTGAAGAGTCATTTGAATAAAAATTGTTTATATCTTTCTACTCTCCAACGGACGGCTTTTCTATATCTTACGCACACTCCAAATAATTAATGTCCATCTTTGGCTAACAAAAAATCTAGAATGGAGTATTGCTATATTCAGATATTAGACAAGCTGTTGGAAAAAGAATCACTAAAATCACTATTTTAGGAAGAATATAGTCTCAGTTGCTCTTAGGCATCTAGCATCAGGAAGGATGTAACAATTAGGAAGAATTATAGTCTCAGTTGCTCTTAGGCATCTAGCATCTTCTACCCAAGTGCCACTGGGTATCACTGTACGTGAATGCAAATGGCTAGCGCATAAACTCCAGATATTTTCGATGCCAGCCGCCTCATAGTCGCTGTAAAATTCTAGGGCAACGGCTTGTAACCAACCAGATCGGTTTACACGAGAGTGAATGGCCAGTTTATCGCATCAAAATAAACACAAGGCAAAGAGAGCTTAAAATACGAAAATCACTTGAACATATATGGAGAGAAGATTGTTGCAGTCATAATACAAATTCCCTCGGCATTAAGTTATAATCAAAGCACTGTTACATGAAGATAAGCAAATTCCATGAATCCAAGAGAGTAAACGCAGCCAATGGAGACTGATCTTCAATTTTTTTGTGCGCCTGCAAAGTCAGAAAGAGATGTTAATTTCCTGCTAACAGATGAGGCTAGAGCAAGAGGAATGATAGCCAGTGGTCACACTATCACTAAACAGAGTTAACCATGAATTGACTTATGTGCCTCCACTACCCAAAGATTGCAGACTTTAAGGAATCATGGCACTGCACAGTGTAACGAATAACGCTGTTCGTCCATATTGTCCATATTCATATATTACCTAAAGTACTTTTACTTTACATCAAATCAAACAGCATCTAAAGCCTGAGAATGGCTAGGCAGTAGGCACACCAGCTCTTCTTTTAAGTCAGCGTTGAAACAGCAGATAAGAGCTGAACAAGCTATGCTGAATATGCATTTCAACAGTGGACGTGGATAGATAGAAATATGTATGGAATAATGAACTCTTACATGGAAGCATGAACATGGCTACATCAGTTCTTCTCATCTTCTGTTTTGTCTGACTTGTCTTCCTTCTTCTCTTGCTGTTTAAAAAGAGAAATAAAGAAACCATCATATTTCCACATACATACATTACCAGACTAGTCAAGATTCGTAACATTACAGGATAGCAGTTCATGTGAACCGGGGGTTTACTGCTTTGGGCATATTTTATTTTCACCAAACCAGTGTATGCAGACCACAAATGGGTACACAACAATTTGACCCAGTACCGCTGTCTAAGGTATTCGTGTGCTCTCACCTGGTAATGTGCTACTATTTCCATTCCATAAGACCAATTCTGCTTGTGGACCATAAAGAACTCCACATGCTATCTTAAACAGCAGAGCCATTACTGGCAGAGCTCAGAAATCTGCGGATCCTAGAGCTATGGTTACACGTGGGTTGTTTAGATGAACTGTTTTCTTTCTATTCTACACAGAAGACAGCACATATTTGGACTTTTGGAGCATACAAACTCCAGATAAGGTGGATCCATTAGCTGGTAATAGTTAGCTAGCTAATAGTTCATAGCTAACATAAGATAGTTTGGTCCATCTAGTGAAATAGTTGTTAGCTGGGTATTCAGCTAACAATTAGCTAGACCTGTTTGGATCCAAGGAGCTAATTATTAGCAGCTAACTATTAGCTCTATGGATCCAAACAGGGGCTTAGTTACTTAAATCTTGCAATATATATATATATATATATATATATATATATATATATATATATATATATATATATATATATATATTCTTATTTAGTCAAGGTCCTGAACAATACTATCATGTAGAGGCAACATGAATTTCATTGCATCACAATACTGGCAGACCTTCAGTGTAACCCAAAAAAGAACATACCTCCCCCTGGCTGTGCAATGATGCCAGCAAATCTTTAACAGATGGATCATTGGGATCAACACCAGGAAGCTGTTATTCCACACAAAAAAAGGACCAATAAATTATTAAAACAGCAGCTAAAAATGTACCTGTATGTCATTAGTTCATAAGAATAATACGTACCGAATTAAGGATAGATGACACAAACGTTCTGTCTTCAAACACCTTACTCATATCAGTGTCACTGGACATGTTTGCATCCTGGACAGACATTTGAAGAGCTGCATATAAACAATCAGAGTATGGGAATATTAGAGAATGAGGTTGATAAAAGAAATGAGATTGTAATACTATAGGTATCAATAGAAAAGAAAACAAGTGAAACAAAGAAAATCTAAGCAACATTTTTGAGTAATGTGAAGATGTGATGTTGAATGATACGATCTATTGGACAGCCAGAATATATATATAACAAAGTATGTTCCTTAATGAGTTATGTTAATAGTTCCGCTAGGCGCTCGCCTAGGCGCGACTAGGCTCTAGTCGGAGGGTGTCCGCCTCGCCTATGGGGGTAGGCGGACCCCTAGGCGGCGGCGGCTCGGCGGCGGCGGCGGTGGTGGTGGAGGAGCGCCTGGCGGAGGTCGTCGGTGGGGAGGAGGAGCTGCGAAGGCGCGGGCGCTTCATGCTGGCTTGCGCTGGCGGGCGGGCGGCGGCGCTGGGCGCGGGCGGCGCCGGCGATGATGAGGCGCGGGCGCGGCGGCGTGTGGGAGGAGGCGTGGATAAGGTCTGTGGGCCGTTTTTAACGGTGGACAAGGTGGGTTGGGCCGTTTTATGGGCCTTTCTTCTCTTTTCTCCCCTGCTCCATGACCATTGGTCTTCTATTTTTTCTTTTCTTTTAAGTACTTAAGTATGTATTAATAAATTTAAGCATGTATTGGAAAACGCCTAGGAAAACGCCTAGGAACGCCTAGGCGCGATTAATCCCGCCTAGGCGCTAGGCTGAGGGTCAGCGCCTAGATTCCGCCCAGCGCCTAGCTGAACTTTTACAGTTTAACTGTTCAAGAGGGCTTGTCTATGGGCAAAAGGCAGACTGGGTGCACATTAATAGAACTTACAAATATACAGGAATGAAATGAACTCACAAGGGAAAAATAGTTTGGTGCCACAAAAAGAGAGAAGTGTTTGGGGATCATCTGATATTAGGATGAGGTGTGGGCCCTGGGAACATATCACTAATCAGCTAGATGGTGGCTTTTTCAACTTGGTGATTTCTGATGACTACACTGAATTACTGATCAATACTACCCATGATGAAAATGCTTATGTTTAAGTTAATGCTGGGAGGAATAATTGAAGATGTTGGTTGTTATATGTTTCCTATTGGAGCAAGAAGTGTTAACATCCAAGTTTTCATGTACACACTAGAAAGCAGTGGTTTTCCATTTCACTACCAGAATTAATTGATAGCAACAAATACCGTATGTGCTAGAATTGTTGAGGCTGCAAATATAAGAAGAGAAAACACACCCAATGCCAAGTCAGGGTCAACAGCACCAGCTTCTGCCATAGCAGAGTCAGTCACAGCTGCAGATCCTGAAGCACCATCCTCCATTGACATTGCAAGTGCCTGCTGTAGTAGATCGTCATCATCCTGTGATCACATCTATGTTAGCCTTCTGATGTCCACTTGGATTACCATTAACTATTAATATAAATAATATACAATACAAATAGTACAAATGGAAGATACAGAGTCAGGCACTTTAATTGAAAAGGGTTTTTGCTACTTGCAACCTTTATAATCAATATTGCAACAGAAGACAAACTGGCATATAATCGTAGTTTAAACTAGCACAAATTAAGTAGAACTTGTGATTGGAAACTTTGTTAGTTAAAAAGTTAAGCAAGGAACACTAGAAATTATGTACATATGTGCCAAGAAAAGATGCACCTAGCCAATATCTTCCATATTTTTATTAAGCACGGACAAAATTAGATTATGTAAGGGGGGGAAAGGAGGCAGCGCATGTACCAAGCTACTTTAGCATTAATTAATTAATGCACTGGCATATACAGGGCTACCTATAAGGTTTCAACATATGCTAGTGTAGTGTCTGCTCTGACAACAATCACTAGCAGATCATCATCTAAGTTTTAATGGTCGTTACAGAAAGTATGTAAGCAAATGCACTCTCAATTTTAAATGAAATCGCAGAAAAGAGTTCATGAGAGTACATACAACTACCAAAACTTGAAGCATTTGAGGCAGGTCAGAGCATTTTTAGTTTGTAACTGATGGACAGTGATAATACCTTTGGCTGTTCTTTCTTGTCGCCAGCAGCAGCATTTGAGGCAGGTTCTGCTTCAGCCATAACAGAATCGCTGTTTGAGCTTGAGGCATTGTTATTTTCGGTATTAGAAGTATCTTCTGCAGCCTTTTTTGCAATAGCCTCTTGCCTTGCCCGCTCTTCTTCCATAGACAACCGCAGTGCGAGTGCCAATTCTGGATCTACATTTGGGTCCACACCAAATTCAAATCCAGATGCTCCAGTAGCGGCGGCAGCTGCTGCGGAAGCAGCAAAACCGCTTCCGCCTTCTTCACCGGTAAATATAGGAGTGCTGGGTAAAGATAGAAAAATAAGGTTAACATATACGCAGCATAAGAAAACTTAGAACCCAGTAACATGGCACAAAATTACCTTAGGAGGACATCAGAGAGGGCATTATCACCAGGAGGGACATGAACAATGTGACTGCTATCACTGCTGTTAACAGCAGCAATCAATGCTTCGAGTTTCTCAGGTTTTTCATCATCGGATTCACCAAAGTCAACAATGTCAAGAGCAACATTGTTCTTTTTCAGCTTCTTCCCGATTGTCTCCAAAACTTTCTTGTCGTACTTCACAGGACTGATACATATGACAAGACTCATTAACCTAAATTCAGACAAAATTAATAATGGTCATATAAGTTATGCCACTCCTGCATACCTTCCGATGAAAGCTATAATCCTCTGCTGCTGCCTCTTGTTCTGGCGATGCTTAAGTGCAAGCTGAGCAACCTGGATTGCCGCAGCCAAGTTTGCCTCAGCACCAACTTCCAACCCTATACAGTACATTGTTGTGCAACACTTGGTCAGGAAACTACAAGTACCAAAGTACCATGATCTAACAACTTGTGAGATAGCTTAGGCAGTTGCACTGAATCCCTAAACTAATTGGCAAAATGCTCTCAGCACGATAGTAAAGCAAAGGTTTTGGGATCGATGTGAGCTTACCGTGCATACAGGCGAGAATCTTCCCGAGGTCGCTGGTGGGAGTGACAAGCACGCGGACGCCCTTCCCGGCCATCGTCATCACGCCTACCGTGTTCTCCGGGTTCGACTGCACCCACCAGCAAACAGAAGCAATCAGATCCGGAATCCCAGAAACCCTAACCCACACGAAACTGGCGATTGGATCGGTGGACGGGGAGACCGGCGTGGGTACCTGGGTCTTGGCGCCGCAGATGAGGTTGACGGCATCGGTCTGCGCCTGGAACCGCGACGGGCGTAGTCGCCGTTCCGCATCCACTCCGAGTTGTCTATGCAGATCATCGTCGCCTGCAGGGGAAAGCGAAACCGAGGGAGGAAATTAGTTGGGGATCGGAGTTCACGGACCGAGAAACGGCAGCGGGGCGCATGTCGTACCTCGAGCACCATGGCGCCGCCGCTGAGGGTGTCGCCGCCGCTGTCAGGGGAGGGTTTGCGCTGGTTTGCGGAACAAGATAGAAACTTTACTAGGAGTAGAAGGGACGGGTGCGTTCGTCCTTATTTGGAGTCGGAGGCTACGGGCGTAGATTGGATTCCGAGTCCGAACCCAGTACTCGAGCCCGACTTGGCCTGCGCTACTGGCGGCCGTCGGATCGCGAATTTGTGATTCGGGATGAACCAGCGCCGGTGTGAAAATCACTCATATCCTCGGTGGTAATATTTTTATAGGTATTTTGATTAGAAGGAATCAGACAAGAATTATTTCATTATATATTAGAAGCTGAGAGCTAAATAAAGCATGCTTCTCACTGCTCTCTCCGTCCCAAAATAAATATATACGTCTAGTCAAACAAATTCAACTTTGACAAAATTTACAGGAAAGGACATAGACATTTGTATCTCTGAATATATTTGCTATAAAAGTGTATGTCTTGATTAATTTAATAATGTTAATTTGCTATCATAAACATTAATTTATTTTTGTATATATTTAGTTAAATTTAGGATTCATTGACTTTTCGGGATGCTAGATAAACACTTGTTTTGGGACGGAAGGAGTACTTTCTATTCAATTTCCAAATAATATTAGTTTTGAATCACTTCTTCACCCGTTCTCCTGTAATCACTAAATCAGGGAGTGGTGCTCTCCTAAACATGTACTCCTTTCGGGTTTCTAAGAAAGTCGTTTTGGATAAGGTTTAAGTTAAACATTGAAATATAAAATCATGAATAACTTTTAAGTTATCGAGTTTAGAAATATTAAAAATATATGAATAGGTTTGTCTTAAAAAATACTTCATAAAAAATGAATATTATTTTTAATTAATATTTTTACAAAAAATAAGAAGTCAAAGTTATGCTTTAATATCCGTGTCGCTGTCCAAAACGACTTCTCTTAGAAACCTGGAGAGAGTAGTCAATACTAATCCATATGTATCGACATCGTGTTTTAACTAATATAGTTCCCTTCACAAGATATTTAGAAACTACCAATGTTAATCTATATGTGTATGCAATATCTCGAGTCACACCATGAGCTTGTTCTTGTGGTGACGATTAGAGAATTAGTTAGATATTGGTTGGTACCTCTTGTGGTGATGGCATGATTTGTTAGATGTTTAGAGTGTCATCTAAATGAGATATGAGCTAAGTGTGCTAACTTCTCAAGAATATTGACTTGAAATGTTGCGTGGTTTGTTTGGTAGAACAAAATATAGAGAAATTTTGTATGTTGAACTTTTACCTTCCTCTTACTCTCACTTGTCTATCATAATTTTTCTTTTGGTGGAGAGATGCTCTTTAGAGATTGATGAGAAATACTAGGAGAGTGTAAGGGAGGAGAGATTGATATGTGGACCTAAAGAGGTAAAAGAGAGGCGTACAAGTTTTTTCGTTGTGTGGTGTATATAAGGATAATTTAAATTGATGCTCTTAATAAAAAACTTTTATACTAGTGTCTCATATTCATGCCTATATATTGTTTATTTCTATTGATTGCACGGTTTGCGAAGGTTCCGCACCTAGGCCCCGTTCGGCTGGCTGAAACTTGACTGAAAAACATTGTTTCGGCCGGTTCGTTGAAAGAGAAAAATATTGTTTGGCTGGTTTGATGAACAGTAATTTGAGAGAGTGATTCATCCGGCCGGCTGGTCTTGTAAGACCAACGAACGCGCCCCAGTCGTGGAGGTTCCGCGTTGCGGGAGTTCCGCACCAGGGCGTGGAGGTTCCGTAGACTTACAACTTAGCAACTTTTTAATTGCATAAACTGTCATGAACATCATCGTGATAGCATCTTGCACCCCGCACATGACACAGGAGAATTCCGGCACTCGTCACCAGCGTGCACCGAACCCCACGTGGTTCGGCAGTACTGGGCCTACCACACACTACTCCGGTGCACGGATGTAGTATGGCTAGGCTTAGTTGGGCCCATGGCAGTCCAGTAAGGTTACAGTACAAATTGGGCCTTTTGGCCCACTGAGCAACCGTGGCCCATTATTATTTCTGTATTTTCCATTTTTACTAGGCCCATGGATCACTGATTTTTTAAAGAATCGCAAGGGTGCTTCTCCAGAGGAAAGGATATGCTCAATCCTACGTTCCAAATACCATGAACAATACATAAATGGAGGAATCTTGTTTCTTGTACTTCTCCTTTTGAATTTTTACAACCCAAATGGGTCCTAAATGGGCTAGACTTTGGCCCTGTTTCAATTGATTAGAAAAAGCAAATGAAGTCGATATTGATCTTGATCTTGATCTTTGATTTGTCGTGAAAGAAAAAGCGGCTGGTATTTCAAAAAGCAGTGACGGGTGATAAGTTCAAGCGAACAGGACCTCTAGAAGTTAGCAACCTGTTCGCTCAATCGTATTCGGCTTATAAGTCATGGCTTATCAGCCAACGAACATTATTTTTCTCTCACACTAAATCAACCTCTGATTTTTTTAGCCATGGCTTATAAGAAAAAAAAAAAAAAAAAAAAAAAGGCTAAACGAACATGGCGTAGGTCTAGAGCGTTTGGATTTATTGCCAGCCTGCCTTGCCTCATCGTGTTGGGCTAGCCTCGGCTCCGAATTGGCTAGCTCAGGTGAGCAAGAAAAAATTGAAAAACACAAAACAAGACATGCTACCTGGGCAATCAAACCCTTCTTTTCTTCTGACTTCTCGTTGAGCGAGGCAAGGTTAGCAGTCATCCAAGATCCAAACATGCATGCCCGTAATCTCTAAACATGCATCATTGTTGGGATCAAATGGTGGTGCCATTGTAGCATGGTCTATGAAGAGGTCGTCTCTAGGCACATGGCTCGAGGAGGACAAAGAAATATGTGGTTGCCTCCTATTTGCTGCACTATGCGATGAATAGTTTTAATGTCCCATTATTATCTATAAGCGCCCTTCACGAATTTAGCTCGTATATTAGGACTTAATTAACTTATCCTGGAAGTACTTTTACACGGTAAGGCACATAATACATAGCCATTGACACTAACGACGAAGACAGCGATATATGGCTGTTGGTACTGAACTGTTTTCTTCGTTAACAAGTTAGTGGTGACCAATGAGTGCACTCAGGCGCAGCCAGGGGCGGATCCAACGGGGCTCGAGCCCCCCTTATCTATACCGGAGCAGTGAAACTCTCTCTGGAGTCCCCATGAATTTTTAGATAAAGTTCTATAGTGTAGGTAGGACTGAGACTTAAGATCGAGCAACAGTCAAAGGTATGTGTTGCTCAGCCCCCCTAAATTTTTTCCTGGATCCGCCGCTGGGCGCAGCTGGTGTAAATTTCGCATAGAGGTATCTTGTGCAACTCATCTTGTGCTTGAAGAGAAAGGCGGCGTCACCGACAAGCAGAGGCCCAACCATTGTCGCTCATATGCAAAGCGCTCGGTGCCTCCATGGCCCCATCTACCTTGCTCGGTGCCGGTAGTTCGTCCCTACGCCGCGAGGCCAGGAGGGCCGAGGGGAAGCATGCTACATGAAGCACATGAAGTCAACAATGTTTTTCTCTCACAACAAATTAACACAGTCAGACTTATAAACGTAGAAATCAACCAACGAACATGATCACACGAAATCTCCCTACGCCTGACGGCGTCGGCGTCCTCTTTTCCAACTCCAAGCAGCTCCCAGACGAAATGACTTTTTCGGCGTCGCCCGCCCTCCGGCCCTCGCGGCGATCGTATCCGCGTCCGAATATGCCTTGCTTTGGCGCCCCACCTCCTTTACTCCCCCACACCCACCGATTCGTTCGACCTCGTCTCTCTTCCCCTTCCTGACTGCTTCGCCTTTTTCCCTTCCTCTCTCCCCTGTCCCCCAGCCGAGCGAGAAAGCGAAGGGGCAAAAAAAAGCCGCACCGGCTTCCTTTTCCACCACCCGGAGAGATGGAGCTGTTCTACGAGCTGCTCCTCACTGCGGCGGTCACCCTCCTCGCCGCCTTCCTGCTCGCCACGCTCTTCGCCGCCAATGATCCCCCGCGCCGGACCGATCGCGCTGCAGCCGCGATCGCCGAGGAGGTGGCGGAGGAGGAGAGGATCATCGAGGTCGACGAGGTGATGATGCGTAGCGAAGGGAGGGCGGCGGTGGCGCCGCCGGAGGCGGAGGGGTGGGTCGAGGCGGAGAAGGCGCCGGCGGTGGTCGTCGCGGAGGCGAAGGAGCCGGAGAGCTTGCCCGAGGAGGAGGAGGGGGTTCCCGTGAAGGCTGTTCGGGAGGTGCGCCTTGCTGCTGGTGCGGAGGAGGGGGAGGACGGCGGTGGCGGCATGAAGCGGTCTGATTTGACCTCCGCAGCTGTTGTGGCGGCGGCGGGTGCTGAGGCGAGCCCGCAGGCGTCGGGCGCCGAGGTTGTGCCTAGGGAGGTTTTTGATGTGGCGGGGTTGGAGGAACGGACCGTGCAGGATGTTGAAGCGAAGCAGCATGATCTGGGTGCTGAGGTTGCTCTTGCTCCCGTTGAAGTTCTCGAAGCAGGACCGGACAAGCAGGGAGTAGAAGTTATTGGAGTTGCGCAAGTGCTTCCCTTGGAAACAGAAGCTGTTGAAGTGAAACAGCACCATTTGGTTGCCGAAGTTGCTCCTGCTGAAGATGTTCTTGACGTGGGATTGGTGGACAAGAGTGTGCAAGCTATTGAAGTGAGGCCCGATGAATTGGATTCTGTGACTGCTCTTGAAGAGATTCTTGATGTCGTATTGGAGAAGAAGGAAGAACAAGTAGTTGAAGTGAAGGAGCACGAATTGCCTGCAGGGGCTGCTCCACAACCAGTTCTCGATGTGCCATTGGCAGAGAAGGAAGAGCTTAAACATCATCAGCCCGTTGAAGAAGCTGCCGAGGTACATGAGGAAGTGCAGAGCAAGGAGGAAGCTAAATGTGAGGCCCATCCAGTTGATCAACAAGAAGAACTGGTTCCTGAAGAGGAGTCGGTGGCAAGGACAATTGATGATGTGAATGTTAGCCATGA